TATAAAAATAAAAAATTAATTTTAATTTTAATAATATTATTATAATTAAAATAAATTTAATTAAAATTATAAAAAAAATATAATAAATATATTTTTAAAATACGTGTTAAAAATTAAAACTCTTACTATAGTATAGTAGGTAATGGAGAAAGGAAAGGCTGCAAGTGCGGGAGCTGAGTGTTTATCCACGTAAGCACATACGTGGGTTTTGCCGGGCGCACTTACTTGGTGCACGTCGCGAAATACATCTATGTTGCATTAACATGGTGCATATATGCTGGCATTTTTCTGGGAAATCAGCTAACTGTCTTAATTTTCTATGTGGGGAGGAAGCATCTGATGCTCTACTCACTAGGCATGGGCCCATGGCTAATGGCACCGTGCCTGGGAAGTAGTTTCCACAGGTGGACAGACATCAAATGTGTGATGGGTTGGTGATGACTTGGTGATGACTTGTTATAACACATGTATAATATTTCATGGTGGGATCACAGTAAGTGTCCTTGTGATTCACCCACGTTTGAGGGGGCGTGCAGAGTCAGACTGTGGCATACAGTTCCCGATCGTAAGCGGCTATTTCGGTGCCTGTTCGGTTACCCAGAAAATGAGAGAAATATTTATGATCTGTTTTGGATGGCGAAAGAGAGTAGTTAAGTAATCAATGCTATTGGTACGCATTAAGTTATTAACATATATATACATTGAAAAGGAATCGAAACATCAGACGTGCTATACGTAATGTATCACATTAAATGCATACAAAGAAAAATGTATAATATTAAAAAAAACAAATATTTGAAAACATCCTAATATGTTAATAATCACTATCTTCTTGTTAGGGATTTCTGATGTAAACTTAAAGGTATGAGTTTAAATTTCACCCATAATATTTAAAAAATAATAAATATTAAATTATGGTGTTAAATAAAATTTGCGTTGAATTTATTAATGAATAACTGTCATTTTATAAACTACATTCAAGTTTTGATACTAACACTCAAGAAAGTTAATTTTTTTATATCCACTAAGTTGATGCGAAGTGTTACTTTCACTATCATTTGGGGACATCCTAACCATTAATATAAAAAAATGGCAATAAATGAAAATTTTAATCAAAGTGTTTTTATTACGATGCCATTTTGTATTTATGTTGAAATTATAGTGTTATTATTTTTTATATATGTGATTTTTAGAAATTTAGAAAGAGATTAATGTTTAAACAACAAGTTCACAATATGATGTTTCATTATATAATTAACTCTTTTTATTTAATTCACTTATAATATTATATATATTTACTTATTTAATAATGTATTACATTCATTTCATAACACTCCGTAGTATTGTAAATATGGTATCGCCATAATGGGTTTTAGGTCCGATTGCACTCATCTAGCATCAAAATTACTAAAATACTATTAAAGAAATAATATAGAAGAAGAGTTTTATTAGTGGTATTTTAATATATATACAAACTTTTAAAAAAATTTATAAATGACTGAAAAATAATATTTCTAGTTATTTTAGTATTTTATAGGGAAATTTTCTTTTTCCTATTATATAATATTCTTCAAAAGTATGTTACCTTTCCATATCTCTGCTGGTTTTTTTTTTTGGCAAGTTCATGTATACCCCAGGTGTAGGGACTAATTAATTAGTTGTTAATTTAAACAGCAATGATATACTTATAATGGTAAGTGAAATTATAAATTCACAATAATAATGTGTTAGTAAATGAGTGAATATATACAATATTACAAGTAAATTCTTAAATAAAAAAATAATAATATAATAATATATATTATAAATCTAAGGTCACATATTATTATAACTATATTACTTTAGTAATTTAAGCTAATATATAATTGTCAAGAAATCATTTTATTCCCCTCTAGGAATAACCCCCAAAGTAAAAGCCCCTTACAAAATTTAAGATTATTCACCCCCAACTAAGAAGATTTGGAAGTATAAGCCCCTATATTATACCACTCAAGGAAATAAGGCTTAACTTTACGCTGTCAATCATTGCTCCTTCATATAGGAATGAAAGAATGGTGATGTGGCAATGAGAGTGGGAAAGGCCGAATGGAAACACAACATGCACTTCCTTTTTAGAATAAGATACACAAATCAAAATTCCCTTATCTTTTTAGTTGGGGTGTTAAGAACCTTAAATTTTGTTAGTTCAAGGGCATAGTTAGGAGTTTTTCTCCTTTTTCTAAACCAAATATGTATATATATATATATATGGAAAAATCTATATATATATATATATATGGAAAAATCCTATGTTAAACCCTTAAATTTATCCCAAATTCTTGATTAAACCCCTACTCTTTTATGAAAACAAATAAACCCTTAAACTTAATGATTTTGACAATTTAACCATTTTTCTTAAAACAAACTTAACATTTATTTGCGTCTTGTTTGCATAAACAAGGTTAATACCCACCACGTAAGCAATGACATATTAATACTTTGTTCATGCAAATGAGATGCAAACATGTGTTAAGTTTGCTGTAAAGAAAAAGCTTAAATTGCCTAAATACCAAATGTAAGGGTTTATTTGTTTTAACAAAAGTTTAGGGACTTAATAAAAAATCTGGGATAATTTTAAGTGCTTAACATAAGATTTTATTCGTGTGATGGTATGTTTGTCTCCATAAATATTGAAGAACTTGTGTTTGGTAAATTATTTTCAAAATAAATAAGAGAATTGCTGCTTGACACACTACTTCCTTCTTAGAATAAGATACACGAAATCCAAATATAT